TGACCTATAAGAGAGAGTTTTTTTGCGACAGAGATGGTGATCCCTGGAGAAGAAGTTGTCGATGCTGTTTTTGAGGTGGGAGAAGTGGCAGCTAGGTGTGTTCCTGAAGAAGGGAGTGTCATGGGTAAATTTGGTCCGGTAGAGAATGTTTGAGAAGAGGATATGGAGGATGTTGAAGTGGTCGATGTGCTTGTTTGTAAGGAAGTGGAGGATGAAGAAGAAGAAGTGGAAGTAATTTGGTCGGTTGGTGATGATGTTGGGACTGAAAGTCAGTGTTATTGAAACAGATTGGGAGAAAATAAAAACTTACTGTTCGTCTCTGCATCATTCCCAATTTGTATCTTTGACTTACTTTGACTTGTAGTCAACGAGGAAGATGTCGAAGGAAGGACGATGTCTGTGATGTGTGTCTCTGTAGGTCGACTGGAACTACTGGTCTGACTAGCGGTCGTTGTGGTGGTTGAAGTTAACAAAGTCGAGGGTGTCATCGAGGATGATGAAGCTTGAACAGCAGGAGTAGCTTGACATTTAACAGTAGTCCCTGTGGAAAATGTCACCTGAGTAGGAACAGAAGTGACAATGGTAGTTTGAACCCATGTGGAGCTCGGAGGAGGGGTAGAAGTACTCGTAACGACGTATGTGGACCATGAACATTGTCCTTGATCGTCGGACACATCATTAGATTCTCTATCTTTATCATCATCTTTATGAGAAGGCCATGCTCGGACATATAATCCCTGTTTGTCTTGATGGGGTAACCACCCTCTTCCGTGTTTCACGACGTGGGTGGTATTGCCGTTAGATGCGGGAACTGTGGAGGGAAGTTGAGGAGTAGACGAAGTATGCGTGCGAAGTGCGTCGGACGAAGTGGAAGTCACTTCATGATCACTCGACGTGTGGGTTTCAGCGGAAGAGGAATCGAGAGAGGGACGACTTGGTCGAGAGGATGTATGAGTAGAGGGGTTGGATAGGGTGGTTTGTAATGAAGAGCTTGAATGTTGTGGGACTTCAACTCTCACGGGTCTGGCATCGACAGAGGTGGGAGCCTGTTCCGCTGAAGAGGAAGACAAAGAGGAGGTCGAAGAAGATGCTGGTCTAATAGCGTCCACATCGTCCACGGAACTGAATGTCTTTGTCGCCCTGGAAGAGGAAGAGGCAGTGAGAGAATTCGAGGTGGAAGTAGAGGAAGATAAAGTGCTAGGAGTGACAGTAGAGGTAGGAGAGGAAGAAGAAGACACTGAGCTAGGTTTCAAAGCATCTGCTACGGGTGCCGGAGCGACCATCGTTTTTGACTGCGTACTCGTTGAACTTGTAGAAGACGAAGTACTGGTCGTAGTCGTAGTCGTGGAAGAAGACGCACTGGACGATATGGCTTGAAACAGAGCTTTTCCTCTTGTCATCGTCATTCCTGTCGTTGAACTCATACTTTCACTACTTGTGGGCGTAGATGATGATGAGCTTGTTGGTATATCAGAAGCTAAAAAATTCGCTCCCCCTGGATCCGACACGCATGTCGAGGTGGTACTAGTCACCAATGTAGGAGTTGGATTCACCACGGTCTCAACCGAAGTTGTCAGAGTCGTTTGAACCAATGAACTGTCGTCAGACACATTCCTTCAATCACCAACGCTGATAAAAGTGAAAAGTTGAAGGACAAGAGGAGAAACTCACGTCGTCGTACCATACAATGTTTGAGTGATACAATCATCTGCTCCTCGTTGCAATTTGACACCACCTCTCCATCCTGGCATTCCCTTTTGTCCTTGTCCTTGTCGATCAACCAGATGAAATGACCCATCTCGAGTGGATTCCTCCACCTGATATTGACCAGTCATGAGGTTTCACATTCACAATTCACAATACTCTCAACTGGGATGTAATACACTATGCCTAGATGTTATAGATGATTGGAGGAGAGAAAGCGAATGATAGAACAGATAGGGGAATGGATGTGAGAATAGATGAACGACAAAGGTGTTCTCTTCGGTCCCTCCCCGCGTGTCACCCATTATTTTCAAAGCGTGGGAACGTTAACCTATTCAGTGGTCCGGGCGGGATGACCGAAGGGATAAAGGAGTAAAAAGCTTCGGAAGGTGAGTGAAATAGGACCAATCATACTTACAGATCTTACAAAGGATGTCTTTAAACCGGGGTCAATGGTGTTGTTTTAGCCTTTGACACATCTTCAACATCCTTCGATAGGAGTATGAGTTAGGGGTATCAAAGGTACCTAGGGCCAACCTCGGAGGGTTAGGTTAGAGATGGAAATGTCGATCTTCTAACGGATGTAAATTTGATGGTTTAGGATGATCCGACTTTTGAGGGTTGACAAACTGCCATCAGGATTGTCAGTGTTATGGTGATATAATAATAGACCCCCTGATTGACTTCAGTTCCTTCGAGTTCAACTCGGATCGTAGCCTGATTTAGATGTACAGAGGAAAGGAGAGGAATGGAGAAAGAGGAGGAATTAAGATGATGATGCAATGGATGCTCTCTATAATAACATATAATTTTCTAGGGCTTGATGAGTTCGAGGGGGTTACTTGCTTGAAACGTTCCTGTATGCCACCAAACCGCCCAGAGCGAGAGATAACCCTAAACAGTCAGATTGTGTCCGAAATATGAACCATCTGACATACCAAAAATCTGTAATGGAGTGATACTGCTG